GGGGAGGGGGATGAGGGGAGGAGGAGGAGGAGGAGGAGGAGTGAGGAGGAGGGAGGGAGGAGGAGGAGGAGGAGGAGAGGAGGAGGAGGAAGGGAGGAGGGAGGAGGGGTAGCAGGAGGAGGAGGAGGAGGAGGAGGAGGAGGAGAGGAGGACGAGGAGAAGACGAGGAGGAGACGACGAGGAGGGAGGAGGAGGAGGAGGAGGAGGAGGAAGGGAGGAGGAGGAGAGAGGAGGAGATGGAGGATGAGGAGGAGGGGAGGAGGGAGGTAGAGAGAGGAGGAGGAGGAGAAGAAGGAGGAGGAGGAGGAGGAGGAGGAGGAACGAGGAGAGGGAGGCCCAGGGGGAGGAAGGGTAGAAGGAGGAGGGGAGGAAGAGGAGGAGGATGAGGAGGCGGAGGAGAGGAGGAGGGAGGAGGAGGAGGAGGAGGAGGAGGAGGAGCAGGAGGGCGGAGGCGGAGCGGAGGCGGAGGCGGAGGAGGAGGAGGAGGAGGAGGAGGAGGAGGAGGAGGAGGGGGAGGGGAAAGAGGAGGAGGAGGAGGAGCAGGAGGAGGGGCAGGAGGAGGAGGAGGAGCGAGGGGTGACGTAACAAGCTCTCAACGCCAAGCCTCCCAATACGAACGGTGGTGTGAGTAACTTCGGTTAATGTGTTTGAGGCGCTCTTTCCGTTTCCGTGCCTGCCCAGGTCTACAGGCCCCCAAGACGGCCCAAGCAAGCGCCTGGAGACGTCCCAAAACGATTTCCAGAAGCAAAAAGCGTTTCATTGTCTATGGACACCATACGTTTCCAGCACGTTCGCCTCGTCGACTTTCACGACGCCCACAACAACCCAAAAAGCCTTCCAGATCGACCCACTACGACCCAAACAAGCTCCCACAAGGACTCCAAGAAGGCCCAAATAGGCGCCAAGAGGCCCCAGAAGCCACCAAACCGACCCAGGACGGCCCCAGGACGGCCCCCAAGAAATCCCATAATGGGTCCCACAAGGCTCCCCCGACGGCTCCAGAGCGCGAATTACGATTCGTGGGGAGATCGTTCCCAGACGCCCGCCGCTGCCTTCAGCTGACCCCAGAGGCCCCCTAGACGCCCCAACGCGCCACCAGGACGCGTCCCAACAGGCCCAGCAGAACAAAGTCTCGGGCCCTTCCCGAAAGGAATCGTCTAAGTTTAACGCATTCGCTTCTTGAGCTTTCGCGAGTCCCACAGCAGCCCAAAAAGCCACCAAAATCAACCCAAACGCCCCCCAAAAAGGCTCCACGGCACAAACGGGCTCCAACAGGGCCCCCGAAGCCACCGGGGGGAGCCCCGGGACGGCCCCAAGAGGAGGATAAAAACAATAACCTGAATTGGTGATTCGAGCACTTCGCCCCGAGAAAACATGAAAGGGCGCCAAAATTCACCCAAGAGGCCCTGTCGGGGATCCACGATGCCCCCGAATGACCCTGGGGCCCGGAGGCGGCCCTTCGACGACGAAGACAACGGAAAAACTGAACAGACTAAGACTCTGCAGCAAAATCCTTTTCTTTTTCCAATCAAAAATCGTTCGCCATGGGCCCCCAGGACCCGTCCCGGAATCCAGTCGCCATCGGCTTCCCAAGTGCATCCGGCCGCGGCGACAGGGGAGGGGCCCGGACCCCCCCCAACCACAATAAGCCTCCCGAGTCCGACGGGCTACTCCGCAAAGGCTCGTTCCCCGAACCTCTCCCCGGGTCCGCTGATGCAGTTTTTGGGCGTGGCTTAACGGGGGGGTCATAAATGGGGGGGTCAGAAACGGTCCCCTTTCGTGCCCCTTTCGGGCCCCTCCGGAGCCCCAGGGGGCTCGTTTAGGTACCGTTTGGGTACCTTTTCGGACCACTCTCGCCACCCCCCCATGTATGACCCCCCCATTACGCAACGCCCAAAGTTTCTCGCCCCAGGTCCGCCCGGTCTTGATAACCCTGGGGCCCGGCAGCGGCCCCCAGAGACCGAAACCTATCAAACATTAGAGGTGGTCAGACAAGAATCTGTGGAAAAGGCGGCCAGAACTGCCGCGGGCATCCAACTCGATCGAGAAGAAGAAGAAGAAGAAGAGAAGGACGAGGAGGAGGAAGAGGATGCCAAAGAGGAAACAAAGAAAGAAGATTTCGTCGTCGCCGCCGATGTCTCATGTATTTCGCGGTCGTTCGAGCACCCGAGGCATCTCCTCGAATTCGGCCTCCAGGAACCGTTTTCAGTGCCCAGGACCACCGCCGAGGGTCCGGGATGAGGATCGACCTCCCTGGCGCCAGTGGCACCCCTTGGCAAGGGAAGGAACACGGGGTGTATCGAGGCTCGGGGCATGAGACTCCTAGTTCTTGGGCGCTCTCCGCCCCCTTCTGGGCCTTCAGGAAGCCCCTCGTCGACACAGCTGGGTCCACTCTCGAACTTCTGGCCGGACGCACCCCCAGCTGGGTCTCAACGATCCCCGAGCCTATCCGGAGGGTGGAAAAGGAGGCCTGGGACAGGCCCCGCGAAGGCCCCAGGAAACCCACATAAGACCGCGAAGAACTTCAAGCCAATCCCCTACAAGCCCCCCCCTTGAACCCCACACGCTACGCAAGACAGGCCGAAGCCCCAAGATTGCCCCACGATCGCGCGCGTTCCGCGAATTCCGTCGTTCACTGCTGCCGCCCCAAGGGGTCGGCAGCGCGGCGTGAGCCAATGAATCGCAACAACCGCTTGCCCAGAGAAGGCGAACATCACTTGAGCAACGCAATCGCTTAAAACGTTTGCCACGCGCACCTATATGCATCGGGAGCCTCGAGAGGGGGGTCAGTGCAAACGGGGGTCAGCCAGGGCGCCGGATCCTGCAGGATCCTGCGAAGGCCCCCTCTGGCTGACCCGGGTTAGGGAGCCGCTCGTGGCCGCGAGGCGGCCGCGCGTATTGGTTTCCTGCTGACCCGGGTCTGGATTGACCCGGGTCAGAGGATCCCCGAATGCATGCATCCAATTCTGATTTGCCCCAGCCCTTTGGGCGTGAGTGGTTTAGAGAGCCCGCTCTGTCCTCAACCCCTCCCCCTCCCCCCTCCCCCTGGGCCTGGAGAGGGGGTCCGGCGGGTCGTCAGGGGGCTCAATTTCGACTCCCGGGAGGGCTAAAAAACGACGACCCTCACGAGGATTCTGGCCCCGACGGGGGGGAAGATAGAGCCCTCTCTTCTTCTTTGAAGCGAAAATCATTGATTTTACTACGGTTTGGGCCCCATTTTGGCCTCCTGAGGGGGCCGCGCTCATCTGCCTTCAAAGCAAAATCATTGATTTTACGAAGGTTTTGGGCTCATTTCGTCCTTCTCAGGGGGCAGCGCTCCTTTGCGCTTCAGAGGAGGTCGCAAGAGGCCCCAAGATGGCCCCAAGAGGCCCCCAGGAGGCTCCCAAGAGGCCTCCAAGAGGCCCCCAAGAGGCCCCCAAGAGGCCCCAAGAGGCCCCCAAGAGGCCCCCAAGAGGCCCCCAAGAGGCCCCAAGGCCCCAAGAGGCCCCCAAGAGGCCCCCAAGAGGCCCCCAAGAGGCCCCCAAGAGGCCCCAAGAGGCTCCAAGAGGCCCCCAAGAGGCCCCACGAGGAGCCCGAACGACTCACACCAGGACGAGGGGCCCGAACGACTCACACCACGAAGAGCCCGAACGACTCACACCAGAAGGAGGGGCCCGAACGACTCACACCAGGACGAGGCGCCCGAACGACTCACACCACGAGGAGCCCGAACGACTCACACCACGACGAGGGCCCCGAACGACTCACACCACGAGGAGCCCGAACGAGTCACACCAGGAGGAGGGGCCCGAACGACTCACACCAGGACGAGGGGCCCGAACAACTCACACCACGAGAAGCCCGAACGACTCACACCAGGACGAAGAGCCCGAACGACTCACACCACGAAGAGCCGAACGACTCACACCAGGAAGAAGGGCCCGGAGGAAGGAGGAACAGGGGAGATATGCGGGGCCAAGCGGACACACGCCTGAAAAACACGACTGTCGGCATGCTTCGCAAGAGTTGCTGCTGTGAGATGGGCTGGTGGGGATACGCGAAGCGTAAAGAATTAATCCGGTTTGAATTCGCCAGCGGACACACGCCTGAAAAACACGACTGTCGGCATGCTTCGCAAGAGTTGCTGCTGTGAGATGGGCTGGTGGGGATACGCGAAGCGTAAAGAATTAATCCGGTTTGAATTCGCCAGGTTTAATTTCATCTGGGTTTTGATTCGCCCGGTTTAAATTCATCCAATTTTAATTCGCCCGGTTTCAAGTCACCCAATTCTAATGAATCCGGTTTTAATTCGCCCGGTTTATATTCATCCGGTCTGAATTCGCCCGTTTCAAATCATCCGGTTTTAATTCGTCCGGTCATCCGGTTTTAATTCGCCCGTTCAAAATCATCGGGTTTTAATTCGTCCAGATTAAATTCATCCGGTTTTAGTTCGCCCGGTTTAACTTCATCCGGTTTGCATTCGTCTGGCTCAAACTCATCCGGCGTTCATCCCCCCAACTTCCACACGAATCACGCAAAACAGAGTGGACGAAACCGAAGCGGACGAAATAAAAGCGGACGAAACCAAAACGGACGAAACAAAAGCGGACGAAACAAACACGGACGAAACAAAAGCGGACGACACAAAAGAAGGACGAAACAAAAGCGGATGAAACAGCAGCGGATGAAACAAACACGGACGAAACAAAAGCGGACGAAACAGAAGCGGACGAAACAAAAGCGGATGAAACGAAACTCCACCCCCCCCAAGATACCCCTAAGAGGAACAATTGCCCCATTGCCTACCGAAACACGTGTTTATTTTACATTCGCATACTTGCCCCCCCCAAGGAGGCCTCAACGATCGCCCCAAGACGACCCAAGAGGCCCCGAATATCGTCCCAATCGGACACCTTCCACGCCCTCCACCTCATCCTCCTCATCATCATCACAATTCTTCTCCTTCACCTCGTCCACTCTTCTTTTTCTTCTTCTTATGTTTCTTCTTCTTCTTCTTTTTCCTCCTCCTCCTCCTGCTGGGCCAGCAACATTGGTAGAGTGCAAAGAAGGAGAAGTTGGCGGGCAGTGGCGTCGGGCGAAAGATCGCGCAGGTCTCATTGGCTAGATCCCAAGCTCAGCGTGTTTTCGAAGAGCTTCAGAACGACGTCGGCGTCGCCTTTATTTGTGAAAAGGGCTGTCTTGAAGGCCTCGCGGAAACCATCGACCGTGTCGCACTTCAGGTCCTTCATCTGCTTCAGGAGACGCCCGACAGGTTTGTGGATATCCGCGTTGGCTATGTTGTCGAAGCTCATCGCAAGGCAGAATTCCAACAGGCACCACCCCCTGGAAATGTATTCCCTCCCGGTCTCGACAACGCTGTCCATGGGAAGTACGAGCACCGGTGTGTTGCCAATGCTGTAGATTTGCTCCATGGCGGACAACGCCACCTTGAACTGAGCCTCTTCCACCTTCGTGCGCACGGCCGGATGTTCGCCAGGCTTGGGCATCTCCCGCTGCTCCTGCTCGAGCTGCCGCATCTCCGGGTCCATCTTGTCGTTCTGCGGCAGGCTCATGTAGTCCACAAACACTGGCAGGGGTTGGACAGCCAGGACGCAGGACGCAGCATAGAACGCCGAAGCATCCGGAAACGCGACGACGACTATATAAAGTTAGGCAAGTGAGTGTGATAAATCACCAACACTTGGGTTGGACAGCCAGGGGGTCGCGGGGCACTGCGCGCATCTCCAGGCCCCCCCCCCCCTTCGACATCTTGGCCGCTCGGCGCAGCTCCAGCCCGCCCCCCCCCCCGAGGCTCCCGCCGGGGCGCGGCAGATGGAGAAGACCCCGGGGCCTGGAGACCTCCGGGGAAGCAGCCTGGCAGAACCGCAGAGCCGAGGGCGCCCCTGGAGATTACAAGAACCGACATCCTCGATGCGCCCTCCTCGGGCCTCACTCCGCCTGCGCCGCCCTCTCCCGGACACACCCACAGGGCAACCCATGTTATTTGCAATGCGACCGAGGAACGGTCGTCGCGATGAGCAGCCGCGGCGGCGCTATCGGAGTGGCCTGCGATGAGCAGCCGCGGCGGCGCTATCGGACCGAACATTGCCGGTACGTCGCAGGGAATCCAGCCGCTGCGACGAGGGCGCCCCTGGAAGTCCGCCGACCCCTTGGGGTCACGGCGTGTCAGATGCTCCCCCCTCCCCAAACCCCTTCCCCCGGGGGCCTGGTCCGGCCGGTTTGGAGGGGGGGGGGGGGGGGGCAAATCCATCATGGAGCTCAGGAGGCCCCAGAACGGGCCAAAAAGGTTCCAAAGGTTCCGAGAACGGACCAAGAGAGCTACGGATCGACGAAAGATCGCCCCAAAACGCCGAAGATTGCCTCCACACGGCTCCATAAGTCCCCAAGACGTTTGAAACGAAATTACAAGGCGCCCCAAAGAGGCCCTCCAGAAGCAAAAACCGTCCCATTCCCTAGGGAAAACGTGCATTTTCACCACATTCGCCCAGTCGGCTTCCACGCGGCGCAAAATGGCCCAAAAAGCCTTCAAGATCGACCCTCGCCAGCTCAAGAGGCTCCCAAAAAGGCTCCAAGATGGCGTCTGAGCGATCCACGAAGGCCCCAGAAACCATAGCAACGGGTTAGGGAAGCCGCAGGACGGTCCCAAGAGGGCTCCAAAACGAGGCAAGAGGGCCCCCAAAGGCTGTCTGGACGGCCCACTCGGAGGACGATTCGGTCCAAACCGCCCAAGATCGCCGCCAGACGGCCCTATGGGTGTCCAAGATGTTTGAAAACGCGACCACGAGGCGCTCCAAGAAGGCCTCCAGAAGCAAAAACCGTCCCATAAATCCATCATCCGCACACTTGGAGCCTCAGGAGGCCCCCAAACGGGCCAAAAGGTTCCAAAGGCTCCCAGAATGGTCCAAGAGAGCTACGATACGACGAAAGATCGCCCCAAAACGCCGAAGATTGCCTCCACACGGCTCCATAAGTCCCCAAGACGTTTGAAACAATATTACGTGGCGCCCCAAAGAAGCCCTCCAGAAGCAAAAACCGTCCCATTCCCTAAGAAAAACATGCATTTTCACCACATTCGCCCAGTCGGCTTCCACGCGGCGCAAAATGGCCCAAGAAGCCTCCAAGAAGCCTCGCCAGCCCAAGAGGCTCCCAAAAAGGTTCCAAGACGGCGTCCGGGCGATGCACGAAGGCCCCAGAAACCATAGCAACGGCTTAGGAAAGCCGCAGGGCGGTCCCAAGAGGGCTCCAAAACGAGGCAAGAGGGCCCCCAAAGGCTGTCTGGACGGCCCGCGCAGGGGACGATTCGGTCCAAACCGCCCAAGATCGCCGCTAGACGGCCCCATGAGTGTCCAAGACGTTTGAAACGCGACCACGAGCGCTCCAAGAAGGCCTCCACAAGCAAAAACCGTCCCATTTCCAAGGTCAAACGTACATGTTCAACACATTCGCGTCTTGGGCATTCACGCGGCGCACAACGGCCCAATAAACCTCCAAGATCGACCCCAGTCACCCGAAGAAGCTCCCAAGAAGGCTCCAAGATGGCGTCTGAGCGATCCGCGAAAGCTCCAGAAACCATAGCAACGGCCCCGGAAAGCCGCAGGACGGTCACAAGAGAGCTCCAACACGGGCCAAGAGGGCTCCCAAAGGCTGTCCGGACGGCCCACGCGGGGGACGATTCGGTCCAAACCGCCCAAGATTACCTCCAGACAGCCCCATGGACGTCCAAGATGTTTGCATGCGCGACCATGAGGCGCTCCAAGCAGGCCTCCAGAAGCAAAAACCGCCCCACTCCCCAGGTAAAACGTACGTGTTCAGCACATTCGTTTCTTGGGCCTTCACGAGGCCCACAACGGCCCAGTAAACCTCCACGATCGACCTCTGGCACCCGAAGAGACTCTCCAGAAAGCTCCACGACGGCTTCCGGGCGATCCACGAAGGCCCCAGAAACTATAGCTGAAGGGCCCCGGGACACACAAACAAATACATGCAAATAACAAGATTCCCCATATTTTCGCATATTTTCTGGATTTGTGTCTTCCCCCCACTTCTCATATTTTCCCATATGTTCCTTGGAATCGACGATTCATTGTGTCTGTGTGTTTTTTCCCTTCCTGAATAGCAACGGCCCGGGGGAACGGCAGGACGGTCCTAAGAGGGCTCCAAAACGTGTCTAGAGGGGCCTCACGGGCTGCCCGGACAGGCCACAAGGGGAACGATTGCTGCCGCCCAAGGGGTCGGCGGTGTGGCGTAAGCCAATGAATCACCAAAACTGAAATCCACGAAACGCCCCCCCGAACCTCACTCCGCCTCCGCCGCCCTGGTCCCGGAGAAACGTTCCAGGGACAGCCCATGACGTCTGCAAACCGCCCCCGGACACGGCCGTCGCGAGGAGCAGCCGAAACGACGCCTGTCGGACAGGCCTGAAAGCGTGGCGGAAGCCGCGGCGGCGCTACTGGACCGACCTGACCAGTATGTCGAGGGGACTCCAGCCGCTGCGACGAGGGCGCCCCCAGAGATGATAGACCGGGCCCTCGTGCCAACTCAGAGCGCTAGTCGAAGGGGATCCTGGATCTTCAGAGCGCTCAGGGCCAGACGGAGGGGGTTCTGCATCCGCAATGGGCCGCAAGGAGGGGGGCTCTGCACCCGCAGAACGCCGCAGGGAGAGGGTTCTGTGCCCGCGCGTGGCTACATTTAAGGAGGGGGTTCTGTGCCAGGCGGGCCTGCGTGGTCGTCGGAAGCATGGAGCATGTCCAGCTGACGGACCAGCAGCCGCAGCTTCTCCCCGGTCGGGTCCGGGTGCTCCTTTCGGGTCGGGCGAAAGGGGGGGATAGCAAAGAGGGGGTTTGAGAATCAGCTCGCGTAGCTGATTTTCCCGGCGCCTCCCAGCGCCGGAGGCGGCTATGTATAGAGCAATGGGCCCCTCGGTGAGGCGGAAACCAGCTGCATGCAGCAAATTTCGTAACCCCCTCTTTCCCAATCCCCCCCTTTCGTCCGGCCCGATCCTTTGCGAGCCACGGGTGCGAGACGACGAGCCTCTCCTTCGGTGCTGCGTGCACCAGCGGAAAGCCCCTGCTGCCGACGAAGACCTGGTCGCCCGGCACCTCCTGGCACCGGGGCATGACAACGCCGGCCGCGGCCAGGTGCCTCAGGTAGCCGCAACGCACCCATCTGATATGCGCCCTGTCCAAGTACTCCAAATACTTCTCGTAGAACTCCTGGAGCTGGGACTCCGTGTACGAGTTGATCGCGGAGAACGCCTCCCTCGCGAGCACCCGCACGAACGCCGGCCCGACGAGGCCGGAGAAGAGCGCCACGGTGCAGCAATCGAACAGCCCGTCGACTGCTGTGGTCTTGTAGATTGATGCTACGCTATCAACATAATTCAGCAAGGCGAAAAAGGTCGCGAACGAGGTCGCCAGGCTGCCGGCCGTCAGCAGCACGAAGCAGCCCGCGCGCCGCTGCGAGCCGCCCCTGCCGCCGAGGAGGGCCCGCGCCGCGGCGCCCAGGAGACCCCCGACGCCGCAGAGGCAGGCCAGGGCGTGGCAGGCCGCACAGCACCCGAGCCCGCGGTCATACCACCTCCACCAAAACCCACCGGCTCCCGACGGATCCCACGCTGTCTGACAGACCATCGCCGCCACCGCCAGCGCCCCGGCCAGTAGGGCCAAGGCTGCGAGGGCGCGGACGGCCCGCGCCAGGCGCGCCTGCTGGAGCTCCTCGAGCTTCAGCGCGACGAGGGCCTGGGTCACGGTCTTCAGCGCGAACAGGACCGCGAGGCAGGACGCGCAGTGGACGGCATCGGCATGGGAAGCCGTACACTGGGAAACCCACGGGCGCGAGGCGAGCAGCGCCGCGGCCGCGGCCGCGCCCGCCGCGTAGGCCGCCGTCCACCGGTGCAGCGGCGCGCCCGCCCAGAGGCCGAGGCGCGCCCAGGCGCCCCAGGCCGCCAGCGCGGCGTAGGGCAGCGCCGCCGCGGGGCCGAGGAGCGCGACGCGCCAGGACTCCCGGTGATGACGGCGCCAAGGCTGTGAGGACGCGCAGCCGTGGCCCACCGCTACGCTCGCGGCGCCCAGGGCCAGCAGCGCCGCCATCACCGCGAGGGCCGCCCGCGGCGCGCGACGCGGGGGCCCCCCGGGCGCCGGCGCTGGCGGGGGCTCGATCTCGAGGGCCGCGACCCGGCCCGCGGCGAGCGGCAGGGCGGCCTCTCGGTCCCCGCCGCCGGCCATGCGTGCTCTGGCGGGGGGCGGCGGCGCCGATGGGCCACGGGGGGCGCGCGGCGCCGGGCAGGGGGCGGCGCGGCTGCCGAGAGGGAGGGGGCCGCGCGGGGGCCGGTCGCTCGAGGCAGAGTGAGCGGCTGGGAGGGGGGGGGGGGGCAGGGGACCGCGGCGGCGGCGAGCAGAACGCGCGGGGGGGAGACGGGGGGGGGGAGTCACGATGCCATCTGGGCCCACGCCACGGCGGGGCCGGATTTGTTTTCCGGTCGTGGGGATGTTTTCGTCGGGTTGGCGCGCCAACCCGAAACAAAAATCCGCCCCCAACCCGAAAAAAATGCCCACAACTGAAAGGGGAAAAAACACGAAACAAAAAATCCGCCTCCCCCCAAACAAAACTTAGGAAAGACGAATCTGGAATCGAGAAAGGGATCCAGAATCCGATCCAGATCCGGGAACCTGGAACTTGCTACTACCTCCTCCTCCTCCTCCTCCTCCTCTCCTCCTCCTCCTCTCATACCTCATCCTCATCCTCATCTCTCATCCTCATCCTCATCCTCATCCTCATCCATCCTCATCATCTCCCTCATCCTCCTCCTCCTCCTCATCGCATCATCATCATCATCATCATCATCATCATCAGCATCAGCATCAGCATCAGCATCAGCATCATCATCTCATCAATCATCATCATCATCATCATCATATATCATCATCAAATCATCATCATCATCATCATCATCATCCCATCATCATCATCATCATCATTCATCATATCATCATCTCAATCTTTCTCCATCCTCCTCCTCCTTCTCCTTCTCCTCTCCTCCCCTCCTCTCCTCCTCTCTCCTCTCCTCTCCTCTCTCCCTCTCCCTCATTCCCCTCATCCTCCTCCTCCTCTCTCCTCCTCGTCCTTCTCCTCCTCCTCCTCCTCCTCATCCTCACTTCCTCCTCTTCCTCCTCTTCCTCCTCTTTCTCCTCTCCTCCTCCTCCTCCTCCTCCTCCTCCTCCTCCTCCTCCTCCATTCCTCCTCCTCCTTATCCTGCTCCTCCTCCCTCCTCTTCCGACTCCTCCTCATCCTCGATCTCCTTCTCCTCCTCCTCCTAATCCTGTTCCTGCTCCTGCTCCTCCTCTTCCTCCTCCTCTTCCTCCTCCTCGTCCTCTACCTCCTCCTCGTCGTTCTCCTCCAACTCCTCCTCCTCCTCGGAACGCTCGGCGTCGTCGTCGGCGTCGTCGGTGCCGTCGTCGTCGCCGCCGCCGCCGCCGCCGTCGCCGCCGCCACCGTCGTCGTCGTCGTCGTCGTCGTCGTCGTCGTCGTCGTCGTCGTCGCCGCCGCCGCCGCCGCCGCCGCCGTCGTCGTCGTCGTCGTCGTCGTCGTCGTCGTCGTCGTCGTCGTCGTCGTCGTCGTCGTCGTCGTCGTCGTCCGTAAAGAAACGGCTGAACTCGCCCCGCTGAACTCGCCCACACTGAGCTCGCCCTGCTGAACTCGCCCCGAACTGAACTCGCCCAGGGCTGAACTCGCCCGGCTGAACTCGCCCGGCTGAACTCGCCCAGAACTGAACTCGCCCCGACTGAACTCGCCCGGCTAGACTCGCCCGAGATGTTTTTCGCACGTCCGAAGTCGTGCCAGGGGTGGATGCGCCCAGCTGAACTCGCCCAGCGCTGTGCTGGAAAACTCGCCCGGCGCTGTGCTGGAGAACTCGCCCCGGACTGAACTCGCCCGGCCGCGCCAGGATGCGCAAGCCAAGCCTCGCCAGGACCTGGCCGCACCCGATCCCCCGGACATAGACATGGGATCGAGCTCGGCGAGGCCGGCGTCGGACCGCGGCGAGGAAATCGAGGCGGCGTGCACAACAGGAGAAACGCTGCGTGAGCATAAGCCCTCAGAGGCCCGCACACACTTCTCGGGTCGGCGCTGGGCCCCCTCCTGTCCTGGCGCGCCTGGCACGCGCCGCCAGCGCCGAACCAAGAATAGTTAGAAAAGAACAAACTTACCAGCCTCGAACGTATCCCTATCCCTAAGATTGACACGCCAAAAGACGATGACAATCTTAGGGATCCGCCCTCAAAAAATAAGGGAATCCCTAAGATTGGTATCGTGATGAGGAGGAGCCCAGCATAGGGACAGGGATATGCACCAGGCTGGTAACAAACGGCATAAACATAAACTTTTGGCGATCCGCGCGGATTTCTTGGAACTGTGCTGGACCCCCCTCCCTGGCGCGCGGAGCGCGCCTGGGGCGGCGCCGCAGGCTTCGCCGGGGGGGCCCCTTCGCGTTCCGGATCCAAGAACCCGCGCGGAGCGCCAAGAGCTTATGCTTTTGCCATTTGTTCCTCCCCGAAAAAGGAGTCCGCGCCGGCGTCCAGAACATGGTGTTTGCCCTTATGGTCCTGGGCAGCCACAGGAAGCCCCGGCCCCACCCGGGGGACACCTCGGCCCCGCTGGCCGACCTACACCCTCCAAGGTGGGGACGGGTGCCGTCTCCGTTGGGCCTCGCGGCACCGATCTCCACCCAAAGGGGGTACATGGGAGGCCAACCCACGAGAAACCTTCCACAATAAACCCAACCGTGAGACCCCAGGAGGTCCATGGATTTTGGTGGGGACGTCACGTTTTCCAACGCAAAATCATCGAAACCCAGGAAACCCACGGCACCCTAGTGGTGAGCAGGGCGTGTCTTGGCATGGGTCTCCACTGTACACTTATGGTTTTGGACAAACACAAGAAGCTCCGACCCCACCAGGGACACCTTGGCACCGCTGGCCGACCTATGCCCCCCGAGGGGGGGATAGGTGCCGTCTCTTTTTGGGCCTCGCGGCACCGATCTTCGCCTCGAGGGGGTGCAGTGGAGGCCAGCCCACAAGAAACCTCCATCAAGAAACGCAACCCTGAGACCCCAGGACGTTCATTGATTGTTGGTGGGAACGTCACGCGTTCCATCGCAAAATCATCGAAACCTAAAAAACCCAGGGCACCCTGGAGGCAAGCAGGGCGTGTGTTGGCATGGGCCTCCACTGCACGCTGGGAAAAGCTGCGGTCGGGCTGTTGCTTCGCGTGTCGTTGCGGCGGCCCTGCCGACACGCTACAAGCCGCCCTGCCAGCGGTTGTAGCGTGCCGCTCCGCCTCGTGGGGCGGGAAGCTTCGAACAAAAACTCGGGACGCTGCTGATGCCTGGAGACGGGAAACAAGAGGATACCGCGTCACGCCGAAGCGTGGTGGGCCAGAACCGGCGGCGCGACCCGCTGACCTAAAGGCTTCAGCCGCAGCTTACCTTATGCTGCTCCAGTCGCACTTAGGGACCACATCCTCAGAAGTCATTTCAAGCACCCAGGCAAGTATCGAAACAATGTCGAACGAGTATCACCTCCCAGGGCACGACACGCGAAAACCCTCCAGTGTTGGTACTTCCTTGGTGCTCGAGATTCATTCTGGTGATCAAGGTCTAAGTAGGTTGGAACATCATAGAAGCTTACCCTGACCCAGTGGGGGTGGGAATGGCTCTGACGATGATGAACACTTCGTTCTTCGAAAACCGATGTGGGCACGCGCCTGGGCGCATGCCGACGCCAGCGGCCGGAAGCCGAGCACGAGGAGGAGGGCCGCCGCGATCGTCACCCAGCCCCCGCAGAAAGGGCAGTCGCGGCGGGGGCGCTCCTCCGCGCGACGGGGGTCCTCCCTCCCTCCCTCATTTGCTTCCTTCCTTTCCCTACCCTCACACACTCATCTTTCCCATCCTCCTTTCCTCTCTCCCTCCTTCCATCATCCCGCCCTCCCTATCATCCCTTCGTGGGGCCTGGAAACGACAAGGCATCAATTGTATTACCAGCTCCGGCGCCTTTTCTCCAAGTTCCGTTGCAACTGTTCGTTCTGGCTCCGGTTCCAATTCCAATCCTGTAACGGTTGTCGTCCTGTTTCCATGCGCATTGAATGCATTCTAAATGTAATGTTATTGTCGAAATCTAAAAACACACTTTTAATACGTGACAAAAGACGGACCTGCCATTTCTGGGGCAGCTCGACCCCCCCTCTCCTCCTCCTCCATCGTTTTTCCTTCTAAGCAACTCTTCCCTGTCGCACCACTAGACGCGTCCGCGGGCTGAACGAGCATTTCACTTGAGACTCCCGTGCGGTCCACTATTACCCCGAAGCTTGAAAGTCCCAACAAAGATGCGATGGATGGCCAATGGTTTTCAGCACGTGGTTCCCGCCATAACGCGGCGGACACCCGCCTTACAAATCCCACCAGCCCTCTGGGCGTCGGTGGTTTAGAGCGTTTCCTCTTCCACCCCTCCTTCTTCCCCTTCGGGGAGGGGTTTACCCCTCCCCCTACCCCCTCCCCACTGACCTGGACAGGGGGTTCCGCGGCGCGTTGGAGCGCCCAAGATCGACTCCTGGGAAGGCTAAAATTCGACACCCCTCACGAGGATCGTGGCTCCTGAGGCGCGGCCCCTCCCTTTTCTGGCCGGAAGGGGGGGGTGCGGGGGGATTGTTTATGTGGTTGGGGGGGCGGTTTTTTTTTTTTTTTTTCTTGGGCTGGGCGGGGGCTGTAATTAGGGAACCACCCTTCGTTGATCGATCTCCTCCAAGATTGTTCCAAAAGACGTCTTGAACCCCCTCTTGGGCTCTGCGCGCGGGCGGGCGGAGCGCCGCCCGCCCGCCCGCAAGGCCCAAGAGCCCACCAAGACGTTCGAAGACACTTCCAATACGCCACCAGGGAGGAGGAAGAGGCGGAGGAGGAGGAGGAGGAGGAGGAGGAGAGGGAGGAGGAGGAGAGGGAGGAGGAGGAGAGGAGGAAGAGAAGGCGGAGGAGAAGGAGGAAGAGGGGAGGAGAACAGCTGCCGATCATCGGCGCTCTTCGTTCGAGTGCCTGGTGTAGGATGGGCTGGTGGGGATACGCGAAGCGTCAAGAATTTCAACCAGTTGCGCGGACGTAGGGCCGATTGTTTTCAAACTGTGGTTCACAGGTGCCGCACGCATTCGCCTTCAAAATGGCCAAGTCTTACACGGATGAGAGCAGGCAC